ATTAACATATATTTTTATTGAATTTTAACAAATGTATTTTATTAATTTGATTTGATCTTATTTCAGTTAACTTGAATAAACATTTTGTACCAACAACACAGCCTACCATGCCTACCAAATCTCCAAATAACTATTCTATTTCAACTTTACATTATATGGAACGATATCATTTGATTGCACCTGAAAACACCTATACTTCAGGTATCCAACTATTCAATTAAGTATAATAATACATGTATCATATTTAAATCAATTACTAAATTAAGACAGGTTTTTATTTTATGAAAAATATATAATTTGATAAATAAAGAAGTTAACACTCTTCCAGTACCTATTGTTTATTGTAGTATAGTAAATCAAACTTAAAATAACACAACACAGCAGTCGTATTAAATAGATTTTTTTTATTATTCGATATATTTAATTAAAAGCAAATAATAAATATTTGTAATTATTGTTACATTTTATTTACTGGTTCATGTTTAAAATATCAAACAAAACTGACTAAAAACCAGGATTACGTTTTTGTTTTTAACTTTGATAATAAATCAATTTAGATTATTATAAATTTGTATGTACCATAGGAGAAAACCATAAATATTAAATATTATATCCTCTTATAAAATACAATTAACTTATATATTAGATAGTCATAAATAAATAATAATTAATATAACCTGTAATTAATTAAACAATATTTGATGGTGTAAAGTTAGATAAAATACTGGCCATTAGCAATGTTTTAGCGAATAACTGAAATATGATTGTTTAGGAAAATTCATTAGTAAATTTACCAAATTCTTATTACTAAAATCAATTTACTTCTAAATAATTACCACCAATCTAATACAGACAAAATCTAATATGACATGATCAAAACATTATATACCTATAATTGTTGTTTTATAAAACAACAACAAATTATTAAAACTTATTATTTCCTAAAAATATTTATTATAAGTGGCATTTATATTTTTAAAAATGTAGAAAATATTAATAATATTATCTGGTTATTTAAATGTAATTACTAGTTTATCATCAATGCCTTTATTGTCCTATGTCCTAATTAAATTTTAGTCTTATTTCAACATACATTTTTATCAGAAAATTAGTTGGATTAATGAATATTGAAATTACCAACCTAATACTTTATCACATTGACTGTCACATGTTTGACTACAACCAAAGTTTTGTATTTTATTGTGAAGCCGCTTGAATTGTCAGCAATCTAAACCATATTATTTATGTGGCRCCACATTGGTCATTTGCCTCAAAATTTAATACAAACCATAGCACAGACAAGACAAATTTGATCTTGTTTGAAAAAAAAACAATCAGTAAAATCCGGTAGAACATGAAATATCCAAACAGTATTTCTACCAAAAATGATTACTTTGTGTGGACTTACACACACTWAACTGACTTGAGTAATTTGCAGACATGTTGCAGTTAACATTTTATCTTTCATACTACATGTTATTTAGTTATTACAGTATAGATTSTWATAATTTATAAGTTTTTGTTGTTCTGAATAAGAAAGAAAATCAAAAATCGCAAAATTTARAATACTTAGGATATCTTGAACAGCAACAAAAAAGGCAACCAATTTATTTTTTGTCAATAAAGAGGTACCAAAATATTGTATAGATAAAATGGGTGCGTTTACAACTGTGGAGAGGTGGTATGACAGTGTAGTTTCCAAGCAAGTCTATAATACAGATTAACCATGTATTCTAAAATCAATGTTGAAACTTAAATATTGCTAATTAATAATACATTTTTTTTTTTTTTTAGAAAACCCCCATCAAACATTTCCGACAGAAGGATTACTGAACAAAAAGAAAAAATCATTGCGTAAGAATAAAACTCCTTCAAAAATACTAAATATCACTGAACTAAAACAACAACCCAAACTATCATAATTGTGATTTTTTTTAAATTAATTTTATTGTTCTATAAGTAATATATTCGTGTTTTTAAGTTAAAATAAATCATATATGTATTCTTTTTTTATTACAAAGCTCAATGATCATGATAAATATATTTAAAGTCTATTTCATGAGTAAATAATTTATCATTTACATTTTTTAATATATATATATACATTATACATATTAATTATTATATTATTTATCAACTTTTGTATTTGAAATAGCTATTATATATTTTTTTTAACTGATAATATAATATATTTAACTAAAAACAATTTTTTTATTTAAAAATACTTCCWACAACTCACTTTTTAAGTTTAAATATTAAAACTTTCACCACATCCACAAGTTCCTTTAATGTTCGGATTATAAAACACAAATTCTGAAGACAATTTGGTTTGAACAAAGTCCATTTCAGTCCCGAGCAATGTTAACTGAGCTTTTCTATCAATAAACACATGGATTCCTAAAATAATAAAAAAAAATTACCCATAGAAGATATTGTGTAGATGGTTATTTGAAGTGTATAAATTGATTAACTTATGACCAATATAAACAATATAAACAGTATACTAAAGTTAATAGGATACATTTTTATCAATCTTACCAATACCTATATTGTTATGATTTATTTATTTAATTATTTACCATCTTGTACAACTTCTTCATCTAATTTATGTTTTTCGTTGGCATAATCTAGCGTGTAACTTAGACCATTGCATCCCCGTTGTTTAACACCGATTTTAAGACCAATCTGCAATATTTTAACAACTTTAAATAGGAAAATTAAAAATAACAATAAATGTATAAGCACATAAATGCATAACTAACACAATCTGATTTTCCGGACAGTATCTTTTTCAGTTGATCAACGGCCGATGGTGTCTGCAACAATAAATAATACACTATATAATTGTTTGAAACGATTGTGTTTGATCTTATACTGACCAAGGTGAGAGCAGCCTTAATAGGTTTTTTGCTTCCAACTACTGCCCTGATGGAGGCTGAAGCTATACGTCCGGCCATGTTATACTATAATATGACCTATAAATTCATTTTATAATTATTATTTGTTGGCGTATTGACATCAATTTGCACAATATCTCACTGTGAATGTACAGAAATAACATATTTTCCTCAATTACCTATGATCAATAACAGTATAAGACAAATATTACGAATTCACAACATTGTGAAATGAATAATGATAAATGATATTGTGTTATCAGTTTATCACTTATCACCACGATTATAATAATAATATATTCTTCTATGTTTTAAAAACATCTCATCAAAATACAATAATTATTAATTATATTATATTATACCATAGACCACTGTTATCTATCACTATAACCGTGTCATAGAATTAATAATATAAATAATGTTAATATTATATCAATGATTAGAAGGCTATTATTTTGGCGTAAGCATAGAACAGTATTTATTTCAGTAATTATTTTGGCGTAAGCGACCTATATCTCAAAATTCATTTTAGCGTAAACGATATTTCGACGCATAGATAACGCTGACTGATACTGATATATTGAATACAATCACGGTCTTATATAAGAGTTAAGACCGTGAATACAATTAATTTTATTGATGTTTAAGTGTTTTTCGTAAGCGACAAAAATTGTTAATGGTTATAGATACCAAAGTCGTAAGCACCGTCAAATTGATGTAAGTGACATTCGAAAAAATGTGAAATGCCGTATGTGACATTATTGTTGCTTACGACGTTTTACACGTTTTCCCGCGCGTTTATATGATAACGTTATTGGTGAATTAATGGTGATTACGACTAGTACGGTGTTTTGAAATAATAATAATTGAAAACATGTATTACCACGTTTTAAGTACTATTTTGATACAACAATTATTTGCTTAGTATTGATCACAAATATTGTTACATGACGTAATAGTTTTGTTATGAACTATTTTATTTAAAAAAAATTGAAATTAAATAATTTGGCGTAAGCGCCTTTTTTTTAAAAATGGGTCGCAAGTGACAAAACTTAAATTAAAATTAAGAATAATTTTTTTAAGTATTATTATTATACAAGAATTTGGTATAGTTACAACAATAAAATAACGGTTTATAAATGTAAGACAACGTAAACTCCCTTAAATGGTTTTTGAGCTCTCCTGCACAATTTGGTTTATGGTGCTTACGCCAATTAGCCTCTAAACAGTCGATATGTCTATGTATCATACATTACTATGGTATTAAATGGTTTATAGTTTGACCACAGAATAGATTAAATCTATTATATAAGATATTTTAATGAGTGGATTTAACTACTTATATTATTATGTTGGTATACAAAAATACAAAATTATATGGTTTATTATTCATGAAATATTTTATATTTCTATAATTAAAAATTGTCTGAATGATAAGATAACAATAATTGTTATATAGTGGCTAAATTATTATTACGTTTGATTTTTGTTTGGAAAAATTAAAATCTTATTACAAAAAAAAGTGGRCAAATGAAATAATTTATAATGAGTGTTAATTTTGTTAATTCATTTAAATTTTATAAATCAATTGTATACTAAAATAAGCGAAAACGGTATTATTCGGAAAGTGTTAAGCTAATCACTAACTAGTAACTACCAAGTATATTATGCTATATACATTTATAATTTTATAAATATAATAATATAGAAACTCATTAACTCATTATATCATAATTTAAAGCAAGTTCGGAAGTTCAGAAAATTTATTAAACCAATGACATATTGACATCATTTCAATGTTCTATAAAAGAGCCAAAAGAGGTCAGCAATTTTGACCATCGCAATTGGATTACTAAATAAAACTAGTGGTTTCCCTCGCAAGCATTTACTTGCATTTTACCAAATTTACAGATCCTAACTCACATATTTTAAAATTTAAATATTTTACTATGATAACAACATAATTTGCGAATCTGAGGTACCTAACAGATATTTCATAAAAACAATAAATTGTAGATACAAATTAAAGCCCTGTAAAATAATATTATTTTAAGTTATAATTAATTGCTTACATACTGGTTCAAGTTCTGTCAGCTTTTTAAACATTTTAGAAATTCGCAATTTTTTATCGATTTTCCCAAGCTTAATTTTTTTTGAATTGTTTGTTTTTAACTGTACCACCAATTTTTTTTAAGATAGTTTTCAATATTAAAGCAACTAATGGAATACACCGAAAAATTTAATCCTTTTATAATTATAATACAATAGAGAATAGTATGCACCGCACACCATCACTGTCAGTAATTTATGAGAAATCTGAATTAAAAAATCAATAATAAACTTGAGTGCCTTATCGGTTGTTGTTTTTAGAATTTGTAATAATTTTAGATTTTAACTCTATTATGAGATTATGATATTAATTTATTGATAACTATTAACTATATTATAATAATATTTCTTTTCCTTCACAAACAGACACACTCACACATACTTACAAACCTGCATGCACGTCTTAMCATGCGTCTGAATATAAATACATTCYGACTATWAACAACTAATTACCAATTTATCAATGCCACAATAACTTTYATTAGTAGGTACACAATATCATATTTTCTCCAAATATTATAAAAATAGGCATATTTTTGGGGTAATAAAATATAATAAACAATGGTTAAATGGAAATAACCATCAGGCACCGACCCATTTCACATTTGGCTGTTTTTAAAATCAGACAACAGACAAGATGCCTACCCAGTCATCTCATCCCCAAATGACGTTACTGGATTAAACTGTTACTGTTACATAATAAATTCATCAAGTTCTGGTTTTTCATTATTTTTCCTATTGTTTATTAACTATAGTATGTCTATATCTATAGTAACCATAATAAAAACGGTTATGCGTGGGGAAGAATAAATCGAGAAGGATTTTAACTAAACTGCCAAAGTCATAAGTAGAAAACAGAATTTGCACACAATAAAGAGAATAATATTAACCGTGCAATGTTGCTTTTATTTTTTCGTTAACACAAATACGAAAAAATAATGTTGTATAGTAAAATATGTTCTTCTCGTTGTGAGTTACTAGTGTGAAAATTTAAGAGTAGCTTTCTTGGTTCTTTCCCGCGAAAAACTGTTCTTGCTATGATGTCTGCAGTCTGCATACTAGTTGGCAGTTGCGTCCCGAAAATAGGTATCTACGAAAAAAGGTCTAATCCGAATTGMGGCCCGAGTTTATTTTGGGTACAGACGAGTTGYGGCCCGGGTTTTTTTWAATTCTAGATAATTTAATTTTAACCGAAAGACCTTTCATGCAGTGACTTGGTATACTTTATAAGTACATCCTGATATCTTCAACGGATGTAGAACGAAGTTTTTCTCGATTTAAGAATATATTYACTGAAAACCGWTGRCTTACTGAAMATTTATCCAAGTCTTTAGTAGTCAACTGTAACTCTTCAGGTAACTTTAAAATATTATAAAAATTTACTAAATTTATTTTTGTTCATTACTTTTTATTTAGATAAGTGAAGGTTCAAAATGCAACATCCTACTTTATACTAAATACATAGGTAGCTAAATAAGTACATTAGGTATACATCAATTATTTCAAATAGATATATAATACATTTTTTTGTCCATATTACTCATTTAATGAATTATATATATTTGTCATTTTTAAACTAAATAAATTTAATTAACATGCATTTTTGTTTGCATATTTTTCAACATTTTAATGAAAATCAATGCATAAATGCATACATATTATAACATAATAAAATATAATTACATACATATAATTAATTTAATTTTAAATTCCGGGACGCAATTCATATGTTACTCAAAAAAACTCGGGCCGCAATTCGTATGCATCCCCAAAAAACCCGGGCTGCAATTCAGAAGAAATTTTTACCGCGGGACGAAACTAGTAGCCACCCGCTATAATTTACATTTGTAATACGGTTACAACACAATATGTATTATGTGGGTGTAAGGTGTTAACCTGCACAAATGTATATAATATGAAAAATATGATAAATATAAAATATCCATATATTACCTACAGATTCATATGAATAAATCGGTGCATACTATAGTTGTCTACTAATATATACGGATTGATCGAGCAACCAATAKAGTTAGCCTATAGTAAATAAAAAGGTTGACATATGTATACTTCCTTTCATGATCCGATGGTTTGTATAATTGTATAAGTACAACTGTACAAGTTGCCTATGGGCGGAAATTATGAGGGGCCTGAGCGAGCTAGTTCGATACTAATTTCTAAGTACTAAGTAGTCACTGGCCATGACTGAATGCAATATTATAATTTATAAATAATAAAAAAAGTAACTTGCATTTAAAATATATTTGGGGGAAAAATAAATAATATTGATTATAACACTTATATTGCAAAAAATCATATTTATATGCATAAAACTGTATTATAAAGAATAAACATTCCTAACAAAATCATTTAAATATGAAAAATTGATATTACATGTTTTAAATTCTAAGATGTTTACAGTAAAAGCCAAAAGGAATGAAAAAATAACATTAAAACTGTGGGAAAATGTACCTACCGACCCACATTACATTATAAGTGTATTTTCCAAGTARAAACTGTTCGACTCAGTTTAAGTAATAAGTATCTGAATACCTGATATATTAAGCATAATAAATTAACATTTTAATATTATTTAAAATAAAAATATTTCTAAGTGAGAATTCGATATGCGAATTTAAAAAAATAAATACTATTATAACATAAAATGTATATAAATATATATTATATAATTATAAATGCTATTTACAGACTATTAAAATATTTTATAAGACTTTTAATGTGAACAATAAAAAAAATAAATACTATTATAAGATCACCATTTTTTTCAATGATATAATTTAATCAAATACATTAAAATCCGTCCAGACCGAAGAAACATTTATCGGAAACACGTGTTTTCGAATTCGATTTCCAGTCATGAGCGGTATGCGGTAATATAAATATTTGTTGACGACAATGTCAGAAACATATGTTCCTAGTTCAGAACAAAGTTTTACAATTGCCTAGAAACAAAATTCGTTATTCTTATTCAGATTAATTCATACTGAAACTTCTTTTTCAACAGTACACATCTATAATACAATTAGTATTATTATATTTATACATAATATGTAAAATTAATTGATATTTGTCTACGTGGCTCTTAAAACGAGGCTTATGCACGAAACCACGAATGAAATATTGAAATGTATTATATTARGTAGAGGTATGTAGTTAATTATTGTAAAATCCTAAAGTTGAATTAAGAAAACATTTTTCGAAATTATTAGCCTTTGGTAATAATACCAACCGATTTATAGGGAAAGCAGGTCAATGATTTTTGTGTAGAACATACACAACATCATAATAATATATACTTTACTATTACCTTTGGAAAGTTTATCCAAATAAAAAGAAACACATTTATAAATTTTGTATAGATACATTAAAAACCKGATAACAAACATAAATYGATTAAGTAAACAAGAATTAGTTAATTTATCGAATTTGTATTGACTAATTTCAGGTTAATAGCTATTATTTATTTTATAGCCACCATGGTATAAAAGCTGAAAATTGATC